TGTGTGTGTGTGTGTGTGTGTGTGTGTGTCCTTGTTTATGCTACTTTGTGAGGCCCATTTTTCCAACTTATACTACATTGTGAGGACCAACTGCTCCTTATGGTGGGTTACGGGCTAGGTTTAGGACTAAGGTGTGAATTGAGGATGTGTTAGGTTTAGGGTTAGGTATGTAATGGTAATGGTTAGGTTATGGATAAAGGTCATGGTTAGGCTATAGAAATGAATGAAAAATGAATGGAAGTCAATGCAAAGGCCCCACAAAGATAGCAAAACAAACCTGTGTGTGTGTGTGTGTGTGTGTATGCTGGTGAAGATTCTCAGTCATCCAGGACATGATAAATTCAAAAATGTTCAAGAAGTTTTGTCGAATGGTTTTGAATATATATGTGTAGTGTTTTCTTTGAGGTGGTAAGGTTTCTGATCATTAAGAGCTAAGTTCTGCAACATGCGCATCTGGAGCCACATGTGGCTATTTTGTTCCTCTTCAGTGGCTCTTAGTTTTGACCAAAACTAACATAAAACTGAAGTTTATTAGTTGCTGTACGAACAACAAGAAATGGCTACTTTTAGCAGTTTTCCGGTCATTTCTTTTGACAATATTTGAATGATACAGTGCCTTGCGAAAGTATTCGGCCCCCTTGAACTTTTCAACCTTTTGCCACATTTCAGGCTTCAAACATAAAAATATAAAATTTTAATTTTTGTGAAGAATCACCAACAAGTGGGACACAATCGGGAAGTGGAATTAAATTTATTGGCTGTGTCAAACTTTTTTAACAAATAAAAAACTGAAAAGTGGGGCGTGCAATATTATTCGGCCCCCTTGCGTTAAAACTTTGTAGCGCCGCCTTTTGCTGCAGTTCCAGCTGCAAGTCTCTTGGGGTTTGTCTCTATCAGTTTTGCACATGGAGACACTGAAATTCTTGCCCATTCTTTCTTGCAAAACAGCTCGAGCTCAGTGAGGTTGGATGGAGAGCTTTTGTGAACAGCAGTCTTCAGCTCTTTCCACAGATTCTCAATTGGATTCAGGTCTGGACTTTGACTTGGCCATTCGAACACCTGGATACGTTTTTTTGTGAACCATTCCATTGTAGATTTGGCTTTATGTTTTGGATCATTGTCCGTCCCAGTCTCAGGTCTCTTGCAGACTCAAACAGGTTTTCTTCCAGAATGGTCCTGTATTTGGCCCCATCCATCTTCCCATCAATTCTGACCATCTTCCCTGTCCCTGCTGATGAAAAGCAGGCCCAAACCATGATGCTGTCACCACCGTGTTTGACAGTGGGGATGGTGTATTCAGGGTGATGAGCTGTGTTGCTTTTATGCCAAACATATTGTTTTGCATTGTGGCCAAACAGTTGGATTTTGGTTTCATGTGACCAGAGCACCTTCTTCCACATGTTTGGTGTGTCTCCCAGGTGCTTGTGGGTAACTTTAAACAACACTTTTTATGGATATCCTGATGCATGCTCAATAATCCAGGTAGAAAAATCCAAAAAAGTTCAATCTGGTCCTCTGGACATTCAAAAAAACAAAAAACAAAACAAAGCAAAAAAAAAATCTAGAAACGTTTCGTCTCTCATCCAAGAGACTTCCTCAGTCTGAGGTGCTGTTTTCAGCTCAGTCTGCAGTCAGACAGCTCACCCAGCCTGAGACAGAGATTCTTGCCAGGGGACTGAACTTTGCGGTTGCACCAAGGACAATTCCTCTGGTGGAGATGATCACAGCAACAGAATCAGCCATCCGCAACAACAAAATGAAAGAGGGTGAAGCAGAACAGCTCAGAATCAAAGTTTCATCCTGCCTCAGCAATGCCAAACCACCACCTTCCAACATCAGTAGAGAGGAGAGGGATGCACTCACCACTCTTAGCAAGGACAAAAACATCATCATTCTCCCTGCAGACAAAGGAAGGTGCACAGTGATTTTGAACCAGAAAGACTATCATGAGAAAGTTATGACACTCCTTAGTGACTTAACCACTTATGAACCTCTGAAAAGAGATCCAGGAAATGGTTACAAGAAGAAGTTAATAGATTGCCTGAAAAATTTGGAGCAGGACAAGGCTATTGACCGTATTCTGTACCACAGACTGTACCCAGGGGAGGCCACACCTAGTCTGTAAGGTTTACCTAAAATCCACAAACAAGGTGTACCTTAAAGACCATTTGTTAGCATGATTAACTCTGTCACTTACAATGTTTCCAAATATCTGGCGTCTGTACTCATCCCTTTAGTTGGCAGCTCAGAACACCACATACATAACACCATGGACTTTGTGGATAAGGTGAGGGATGTCATCATGGAGACTGATGAAACAATGGTCTCTTTTGATGTCACATCACTCTTTACGTGCATTCCTGTTGATGATGCAGTAGAGGTGGTCAGTTTAAGATTAAAATCAGACACCACTCTGAGCAGCAGGACCACGCTTTCCACAGAACAACTGTGTCAACTCTTGAAACTGTGCCTGCAGTCAACCTACTTCACATATGGGGAGCAATATTATAGGCAGAAACATGGGTGTGCTATGGGGTCTCCAGTTTCTCCTATTGTTGCCAACCTGTACATGGAGGAGGTAGAAAAGAGAGCCTTGACGTCCTTTTCAGGGACACCACCAAGTCATTGGTTCAGGTATGTTGACGACACCTGGGTTAAAAT